AACAAAGCAAGACAGAAATCAACTTAGCACATGCATATGTATCTCTACTCTGTGAGTCTAACATACAGATGACTGGGTCCCGTAGGACACAAGAAAAAAAAAGCAACATGTTGCAGACAAGTGTCAAAATAAAGCACTGAATTAAGTCTTTAAACCTTGATAACCACTAACTGAAGTCATTTTAATTAAAACTATTTGAGGCTGGGCATGGTGGCTCACAACTGTAATCCCAGCACTTAGGGAGGCTGAGACAGGCAGGAGGCTGAGACAGGTGGATCACTTGAGGTCAGGAGTTTGAGACCGGCCTGGCTAACATAGTGAAACGCTGTCTCTACTAAAAATACAAGTATTAGCTGGGCATGGTGGTGGGCACCTGTAATCCCAGCTACTCAAGAGGCTGAGGCATGGGAATGGCTTGAACCCAAGAGGCAGAGGCTGCAGTGAGCTGGTATCATGCCACTGCACTCCAGCCTGGCCAACAGAGCAAGACTCAGTCTCAAAACAAAACAAAAAAACCCCAAAAAAACAAAACCAAACAAAACCAAAAACCTCTTTGACAACCATTAATTGATATACTTTTTTTTTTTTTTTTTTTTTTTTTTTTTTTTTTTTTAAATAGGGTTTCACCATGTTGGCCAGGCTGGTCTCAAATTCGACCTCAAGTAATTCACCCACATTGGCCTCTCAAAATGCAGGCATTATAGGTGTTACCCACAGTGCCTGGCCAAGGCCAGGCATGGTGGCTCATGCCTGTAATCCCAGCATTTTGGGAGGCGAAAGATGGCAGATCACGAGATCTGGAGTTTGAGATCAGGCTGAACAACACAGTGAAACCCGATTTCTGCTAAAAATACAAAAATTAGCTGGGTGTGGTGGCATATGCCTATAATCCCAGCTACTGAGGAGGCTGAGGCAAGAGTTGCTTGAACCCAGGAATGTGGGAGGTTGTAGTGAGTCGAGATGGCGCCACTGTACTCCAGCCTGGGTGACAAGAACAAAACTCCATCTCCAAAAAAAAAAAAAAAAAAAAAAAAAAAGAAAGCAGCTCTTTACATTAGTCTCTCCCACTAAACTGACCTCTGAGGCTTAGAAATATAATGAATGGGGATTTTATTCATCGTCACACTCTGTCTACATGAAATACTCGGCAGGTATCTCAAGTCTGCCATTTTCCTTCAAGTTAAGAGCATATTTATTTGGTTGGGCTATGTTTAATGGGCGTAGGAGTAAGGAATGGGAAAAAAACTGAGAGAAAACTGTCTTCTCTTATAAATACATAGGATATAACAGGGGTATGAGTTTGCTTTGATTATAAACTCAAGCCTGCCTCAATACATCAGTTCTTTTCCCATGTCCTTTTGCTCTCCAAACACATGAATTTAATTCGCTCCAAATGTAAACCTCCAAAAATTTCAATTTGATGTAACTTAACTTCATAAATTTGGCTAAGTACATAATATGCAAGACTGAATTCTGACAGTGTATTTACTTTAACTATGGTGTTTCCAAATACATTTTTAAAAGAGCACCATAACAGTTTTCACTTCAGACAATTCAACAAATCAAATAATAAGGACACCCAGTTAAAGTCACTAATTTACATTACTAGTAACAATGGCCCTATTACTAGAACCATTCAAATTACTTTAAATATTCAAATTAAACTACCATTCTCCTCAATACACTGATGTTCTCACAAACCAGTAGAACACAACTCAATATAATTTATGTTTCTGTAGATGCTTTCAAAGGGCCCTATTACTTCACCACAGCACTGTTTTAACCATATGAATTAGAGGTGTGAATCCTAAGCGTAAGAATACATTCAGTCTCCAATCTATACTGGATTAGTTCTACATTATCAATTTATTGAAGGGAAAGATCATTTTTTTTTACTACACAAAGTCTTATATTCAAATGTTTGAAAATCATCACAACTTAAACATGTGAAAATTATAAATAGTCCCTTCAACTGTATCACTACTTAAAACTCCTGAAGTTCAGGAAAACAATAAATAACAGGTTGAACAGATCAAATATGAGAAAATGTAATGGGAGTTGGAGTTTTTCAGGGCAGAGGGGGCTGGCCTGCCGTTGTTACTATTATGTACACTACTGCGTTAAGTTAAGCTTGTTAAAGTATAATAGCACAATACAATAAAAAGATACCCTAAGAGAAGCATGGAATGAGCCATAACCCTCTTAACAAAGGAAGAAAATCACATTACTTAAGGAGAGACAACTGCATCAAATATTATCATGCACTACAATTAATCTAACAAACTATTTACACCTCTAGTTAATTGTTTTCCCAAACTTTAGGGGGAAACATGTGAAACTCTCTAATTCAGCAGAAACAGATCGGTCACATTTTTGTCTGAGCTTCCAAAGTTCTGACAGCCTAACTACTCCACTGTATCAGGAATAATGCGCAGTCTTAAGTACTGCATCCATACAACCTGAACTTTCCTGCAATTCATGTTTTTGTTTTTAATTGTCCTAAACACTATCTAGGGGAAAAAAATCATAGTTTGCCAGAGAACAAGATCTCTACAGGTATAAAGTTTCAATGATTCAACTTCAATAAAGTTTCTTTATATCCCATTATTTCTTAGTACCTTACCAGGTTACTTCATTTTAGATGACCTGTACTATGGCCCAAAAATGTTAACTTTCAACAAGACTCATGACACCTAACTAATTACTTCTACTTGCCTAATGGTCTGCATGATACGTTTTCATCTTGGTTTCAAGCAAGTCTTATTCTGTTGCTTTTTTTCTATAGCAGTATTAAATGCTGTCACACAGGTTAACTCTCCCAGTTCTATTTGGAAGTCTGTATTAGAGAGCAACAGGCAACAACAGACTTATCACTGTCTACACTCCTCAGGTTTCTTCAGCAATACTAAAATCCCTTAGCCAAGAGTGCCTTTTTACCACAGGTCTGGACTGGGGAGATGGTGATCAACTACCTGTCCACTGGCTGCACCTCTGCTGGTCCCACCTATTAAAGTGCAAGGGACCTGCGGGACAACAGTCTCACATCTGTCCTCTCCCACAATCTATAGCATACTAGGTAAGAAAGGTGTCAAGGGAGGTGTCAGGTCCCATGAGAACTAACCCAACAATTTCCCACCTTACTTGCCTGTCATGGAGCAAGCAATCACAAATGTAATAGAATTTTTTTTTTTTTTTTTTTTTTTTTTTTGAGATGGAGTCTTGCTCTGTAACCAGGCTGGAATGCAGTGGCACAATCTCAGCTCACTGCAACCTCTGACTCCCTGGTTCAAGCAATTCTCCTGCCTCAGCCTCCCGATTAGCTGGGATTACAGGCATATGCCACCATGCCCAGCTAATTTTTATATTTTTAGTAGAGACGGCTTTTTACCACATTGGCCAGGATGGTCTCGATCTCTTGACCTTGTGATCCACCTGCCTCGGCCTCCCTAAGGGCTGGGATTACAGGCGTGAGCCATCACGCCTGGCCTAGAAATGTAGCAGAATTCTTAAGACACAAGAACTTCCTCTTTGACTTCAGAAGAGGAAAAAAACATGTACAACATGTAAGTGTAAAGTGATATACTCTAATGCTGCAGAAAATCTGTCATTTTAACACCAATACGCTCAAACTAACTTTCTGAAAACATTTTCTAGGATGGGTTAGCTGACAGAGTTAAGTTCACCCATGTAAGTTCTTAGCTTACATTCTATTAAACATTTCTAGAGCAAGCTGTTACTGTAAAAGGCAAAAATAGTCACTATATCTGGACCTAAACCTAAGCGTGACAAATGGGTCCACAGGCACCCTCTTAACCATTTTCCAAAGAAATATGTTTAAACGGCTTTACCATGCAGAGCTATGGCTTCCCGGAAGGGTTGCAAATCAGTCTCTACAGATGAGCTAGTTTCCGTTGAAGTAGCTCGGTTAGGGGACACTACAGTCAGTCTTGGGGGAGCTCTAGAGTTTCGTGGTGGAGGAACTTTGCCACACAGGAAGCTGATCAAATCTTCTCTACGAATAGTTCTTCTGCGTTTTTTAACCCAAGCCAACACATCCTTATTGCGTCGCTGATAGCCAATCTGAATTCCAATATCAAAACTTCGTTGATGGGTATCCACGCTTTCTGTTAGAAAAAAAGAGAAAGAGAAAACATGTATCATGATCACTAGAGCCATAATGTATTCCCCTCTAAAGAACACTATTTTACAAGTCAACCAAAGTGAATACCATGATGTGGCCTCTGACCCCATCAGTATCTACTAAACTGAAATGATTTCAGTCATAATGAAAATGTTACATATGACATTTAATCTTAATGGTCTAAATTCAGTGTTTCTTACACTCCTAGAGCTTGTCTTGTTCTTAAAAAAATTTCTTTTAACATCTGCATTTACCATGTCATTGGGAAGATGCCCTCCTACTGACAGTTCAGCACCAACAATCAGGAACATGCTGAAGGCAGCAGCAAACGTTTTAGAATGAAAAATTAATCCCGATTAATTTCAACACTAAAACCAAACAGCATGGTGGAAACAAAAAGCTTCATCCATTTCCCTAGGTATATTCTCATTCTGCTTCCAGTTCCCAACAGCTTCCTGTAACTCAACCATTCCCAACAGATCTCCCAGACTAGATTGCCTATATACACTCCACCTGAGTTTTGGTAAAAATTACCCGTACCCTTTAGTGGTTTGATCTAGCTAGAAAAAAAATTAAAAATTTAAGTCACTGCAATTTATTTTTAATTGTGCTGCTATGCTCGCACAAAAATCACCAGAATGTCTTTTAAAATTTATGTGTATGTGTGTGTGTGTGTATATATATACACACACACACATATATATATATATATAAACTAAGATGGGGTTTCACCATGATGGCCAGGCTGGTCTTGAACTCCTGACCTCAGGTGATCCACCCACCTTGGTTTCCCAAAGTGCTAGGATTACAGGCATGAGCCACCATGCCCGGCATCTTTTTTTTCTTTTTTTTAATTCAGTCTCCGTAGAGACTGTCAAAAATTGCCAATGCTGACTGTATTTAAAGTCGTCATGGAAGGGTATTGGGCAAAGTTTTCAATTAGCAATAATTGCGCCTTGGATAAACCTCTTTGGCTACGATACTACCACTGTGCAAAGCTACCATTATGTCTTTAATGGAATTAATCCATTGTTACTTTATCCCTGAACCTTTCATAAAAGCAATAATACTGTGTACATTTCTCTATTACTTTTCGTGGCTTTATTTTAATTTCTTGTCTGCTATGTCTACAACAGACTCTGAAAGGATGAGAGCGTTAGTCAAAAAATGTAAAGCTGTGTTCCAGCAAGATGATAATCATCCAGACATCACAGAGGATCCCAAGCTGAATTTGCATTATGAAGAAAAATGGCAAGAGGGCAGCAGAATAACCAGAACTTTATAACCAGGCCTACTCAGAGGACAGTAGCAGACGACAGTATTTATTGCTAAAGATAAACAGAAAAACTGTCCATAGAAGATCTTAAAAATTAATGAAAGCAGGACCTGGGATGCTATGAAGAAAAAAAAAATACTTAAAAAGGAGCAGGAGGCTGGGCGTGGTAGCTCACGCCTGTAATCCAAGCACTTTGGAGGCCAAGGCAGGCAGATAACCTGAGGTCGGGAGTTCAAAACCAGCCTGATCAACGTGGTGAAATCCTGTCTTATTTTCTAAAATTAAAAAGGACCAGGACTAGATTTCAACATTAATTTGGAAACCTGATATGCTATAAAGTGCATTCATAACTTCACATTTACACCCCCATCACAACTTTGAGAAGGTGGATTATTATAATTTTACAAATATAAAAAGCAACTCGAGTGAAATAACTTCTCCAGTGTCTCACTACTGGTATAATGTAAATCAATAATCTTTATTTTTCACTTCTTCATAAACAAAGAAAGCGTGAACTACATTCTGAATGTAAATAGCATTCTAAAGAATCAGCACTTTCCCATCTCTTTGGGAAAAGATTTAGATGAGCCAACCCTAAAAGGGTGGACCACCCAAAGATGACCTTGTGATGCTGTACCTAAAACTTAAATGATTCTGAAAAAGCTGGAGGCATTAAGAGAAATCAACACATTGAGCAACTAAACCTATCTTATCAGACCACAGAAAGGATAAATGTAAAATGTATGAACCTAGAAGCAACCAGGTTTTTGAACCTATTCTACCTAGAAGAATTCCTTTTAATCAAGTTTTAAACAAAGTTTCTGTTTCTAAAGAGAATGAAGATATTTTATTTTTCAAAAGCCAAATGGAGGTAAGCCCAGACCTGAAGAAACAGAGGAAAGAAGTCTGAAGCATAGTAAGAGGGATACAAGAAACAAGTCTAAAGAATGCTTGGAGCCGGGCGCAGTGGCTCAAGCCTGTAATCCCAGCACTTTGGGAGGCCAAGGCGGGTGGATCACGAGGTCAAGAGATCGAGACCATCCTGGTCAACATGGTGAAACCCCGTCTCTACTAAAAATACAAAAAATTAGCTGGGCATGGTGGCGTGTGCCTGTAATCTCAGCTACTCAGGAGGCTGACGCGGGAGAATTGCCTGAACCCAGGAGGCGGAGGTGGCAGTGAGCCGAGATCGCGCCATTGCACTCCAGCCTGGGTAACAAGAGCAAAACTCCGTCTCAAAAACAAAAAAACAAAAACAAAACAAACAAAAAAAACAAAACCAAAAAAGAATGCTTGGAGAGCACAAAGAAAGATGGCCAGGCATGGTAGCTCGGGACTGTAATCCTAGCACTTTGGGAGGCCAAAGTGGGTGGATCACTTTAACTCAGGAATTAACCATGTCGACCAGCCTGGCCAACATGGTTAATCTCCATCTCTCTCTTTCTCTCCCTCTCTCTCTTTTTTTTGAGACAGTCTCACTCCATCACCAGGCTGGAGTACAGTGGCGTGACCTCGGCTCACTGCAACCTCCGTCGCCCAGGTTAAATCAATTCTCCTGCCTCAGCCTCCCAAGTAGCTGGGACTACAGGCGCGCACCACCACACCCAACTAATTTTTTTTTTTGTGTGTGTGTGTGTATTTTTAGTAGAGATAGGGTTTCACCATGTTGGCCAGGATGGTCTCGATCTTGACCTAGTGATCCGCCTGGCTGGGCCTCCTGAAGTGCTGGGATTACAGGCGTGAGCCACCACGCCAGGCCAATCTCCATCTCTACTAAAAATACAAACATTAGGCTGGGTATGGTGGCTCACGCCTATAATCCCAGCACTTTGGGAGGCTGAGGTGGGCAGATCACCTGAGGTCAGGAGTTTTGAGACCAGCCTGGCTAACATGGTGAAACACCGTTTCTACTAAAAATACCCAGGCGTGGTGGCACATGCCTGTAATCCCAGTTACTCAGGAGGCGGAAACTGCAATGAGCTGAGATTGCGCCGTTGTACTCCAGCCTGGGCAACAAGAGCAAAACTCCATCTAAAAAAAAAAATTAGCTAGCATGGTGGTGGGGTGCCTGTAATCTCAGCTACTTGGAAGGCTGAGGCAGGAAAATCAGTTGAACCAGGGGTGGAGGTGGAAGGGTGGAGAAGGTTGCAGTGACCCAAAACTGTGCCACTTCATTCCAGCCAAGGCAAAGGAGCGAGACTTTGTCTCAAAAAAAAAGAAAGATGACGGCCGGGCGCGGTGGCTCAAGCCTGTAATCCCAGCACTTTGGGAGGCCGAGGCGGGTGGATCACAAGGTCGAGAGATCGAGACCAACCTGGTCAACATGGTGAAACCCCGTCTCTACTAAAAATACAAAAAATTAGCTGGGCATGGTGGCGCGTGCCTATAATCCCAGCTACTCAGGAGGCTGAGGCAGGAGAATTGCCTGAACCCAGGAGGCGGAGGTTGCGGTGAGCCGAGATCGTGCCATCGCACTCCAGCCTGGGTAACAAGAGCGAAACTCCGTCTCAAAAAAAAAAAAAGAAAGATGAAGCGGACATGTAAACGTATATATACCTGGCAAACCAAACAGCAAAAGAGAGACGCTAAACTTGATACAAACCTCAAGCGCCAAAGGGAAGAGGCCACGTGAGGTGGCTTAAAAAAAAACTATCCTGTGAAGAAAGAGCCTGGCCAAGTTTCGGTTTGTTTTGATTTCAAGACACAAGAAGTCCAACAGTCAGATCTGCAAGGGACTAGTGCTTTCATCACAAATTTGAACAACATTGGAAAACTCAATAATCACTAGTGGCCTGGCTTAGATGTAAGACAGTTATATAACCAGTTGTGAATCTCTTTAAAAAACTATGCTATCAGGCCGGGTGCGGTGGCTCAAGCCTGTAATCCCAGCACTTTGGGAGGCCGAGGTGGGTAGATCACGAGGTCAAGAGATCGAGACCATCCTGGTCAACATGGTGAAACACCGTCTCAACTAAAAATACAAAAAATTAGCTGGGCATGGTGGCGCATGCCTGTAATCCCAGCTACTCAGGAGGCTGAAGCAGGAGAATTGCCTGAACCCAGGAGGCAGAGGTTGCGGTGAGCTGAGACCGCGACATTGCACTCCAGCCTGGGTAACAAGAGCCAAAACTCCGTCTCAAAAAAAAAAAAAATTACGCAATTGACCAATTATTTCACCTAAAAAATTATGAGATGACCAAGTCTCAACATCAGAACTATGAGTACAATAAAAGCCATGCGTTTTACAAACACTACCTTATAGACTAGAAGGTACTGGAGAAAAGCAGACACAACATTGAAGGTTTCAGGTATGTCTTTGCATCACCAGGGAATAATGTAGTTTTAAACTGTTAACAGTGTATTTTGAAAACCAAGTCCAATTGCGTTACCACTCAAATTAACCCAACCTCAGTTATTTCCCAAAATACGAAGTCTCATTTAGATGCTGAAGTATTTAAAATAAGAGTCCTTTCTAAATAGTTACCTGACTGAAAATAAACCTTCCTCATACCTAGACTTAATCAGGAGAGCTGTGTGCTTACTAGAGAATCTTAGGCATTGACTACATTTCAACATAATCCCAGGATAATCTAGTGTCCAGTGGATAATCACACAATCACTCACACAAACACAGCCCCTTGAAGGCTCTTAGCCAAACACTGCTCTGAGCACACCCAAATTCTGGAAACATGGGGTTTCAGGCACCTATCCAAGAAAAGCAGAGCGCAGAGGTCATGGCCAGTCTTGTGTCCAACACTATTTCATCGAAACCAAAGTCACTGTGGAAAAGAGCCACACACTTGAAGGTTAGGCAAACCCCAAGGGCATCGAAATGTCAATCTAACCTTTAACCACAACACATTCATTTCCTTATTCAAAAAAGGAACTGGGGTGGGTGGGGTGGCTTACACATAATCTGAGCACTTTGGGAGGTCAAGGTGGGCAGATCACTTGAGGCCAGGAGTTTGAGATCAGCCTGACCAACACGGTGAAACCCTGTCTCTACTCAAAATACAAAAATTAGCCAGGCATGGTGGCAGGCACCTGTAATCCCAACTACTCAGGAGACTGAGGCAAGAGAATTGCTTGAGTCTGGGAGGCAGAGGTTGCAGTGAGCCAAGATGGTGCCACAGCATTCCAGCCTGGGTAACAGAGCAAGACCCCATCTCAAAAAAAAAAAAAAGAAAGAAAAAGAAAAACTGATTCATATACGAGTCATAGATTTCCTGTATTTCATATTTTTTTAAAAAATGCTTTTATATAAACATGTAAAATTGAATCCAAGAGATTTTAGAAGACAAATTATCCTACCACAATGGGCTGGGGTTGGGGCAGAGGGCAAAGCATTATATTGATTCTGAAGACCAAATGCAGAACTTTCTTACACGACTGCACAAAATTAATCAGATTACACTACTTATAGCTTTCTGATACACACAAAACTTCATGTGAATTAGAGCAGGCATCCCAAGTTTATAACAAAGACTGAAGTTAAAACGGCCTTATGTCCAAAGTTCAGTAACTGAGTTCCTTCTATGACCTATCTCTTCCTCAAATGAGAAGCTATCACTCAATCATAGACAATCTACAAACCATAACAACACAATGCTACATCAAAGCAACACTTCTAAAGAAATACTATTGCCTACACAACATTTAAACTTAAGAATTAAATTTGTACTAGTTAGGCCAGATGTGGTGGCTCACACCTGTAATCCCAACAC